CGAATTGCAAAAAAGTTTGATGAACTACATTCAGACCAAAATTTTCTTAAAGACTTAAAGGCTTTAGTTCGTAATATACATGTTTTGGATTTTTCCGTTCAATGTTATCACGAGAAAGGCGTTTAAACCCTGTATACAATATGTTTTAAACCTTAATAATAAGTTTAAACGGAATGTAGCAATTTAATTAAATAGTTACTGTGCATAAATAATTTACTCATTTCCTTATTCTGCAGACCTCCCCCTCACACACACACACACGCGCGAAGGTTTCGCTACTAACGTTGTAATTACGTTTCTGCTCCATACCCCTCGATTATGGATTCTCTAACGGAATTATTCACACGTCCTACCATCTTCTGTGTGTCCTGCCGGATCAATAACTCATTATAGCCTATATTATACATAGCAAGGAACAGTGAGCTAAATAGGAAACAGACACTATGGCGAATAGAAGATTCTTTCGTAAGGTTAATTAAGATTCAATTTTTAGTGAATTTCCCATATAGGTAATAAATTATTACTGTAGCTTTAGGTCTAATGGGAAAACCTGGACCCGGGACCGATTTACTGTTTCGTTTAAAGGCCCCGAGTGGCCAAAAACACCATCTGTTCAAATTCTATCAAACGAGTTCTCAAACCATTGATCGGACTAAGGGAATGCGGATTTGTGAAGGATTTTATGGTGTACAAATTGGGTCCTGAAAACATAAAATGTCGCTATTTTTTGTAAACCATTTCGTAGAGCTTAAAAACAAATAATTTAGAATACTGAAGCGTTATTTTGCGCTTAATGGTCAAGGATGAAATAAAAAAAGGTAAAATTAAAATTCCCATGTTATTCTTATGAAGAATACGTGGAATATTGTAATATGCTTGTTTATAAACTTATTTTGATCGAATTATGAAAATCAATTTATTTAATACTATAGGATTAACATTTAACTAAAACAGATTTTATCACCATCCCTGTAGCAGCAAACCTAAGTACTCGTTTATCCTAATATTATTTAAATAGAGATTAAATATGATACCTTTAGGACGTATTTTAGTAAATGTCAATTTAGGAAAATGGAAATTTGCTTAGTCTGCAGGTTTGCTGTGACGGGGGTTTGGTAGCTGAAAATGCTTCATCGACTTCATTTCTTTATTAAGCTGGCAAGTTGTTAAAAAATGTAAATTAGTCTTAACAAAATATGTAAATATGTTAAGTATAGCTGATCCTACCGGTATTTAACGTTCGTCGCTCTATTATTATTATTATTATTATTAACTTTACTTAGCACATACATGGCCAAAGTTAGATTATTATGTATACATCCGTTTTCACAATAATTTGGCAACCTATACAACCGAATTTGCTAATATTATTACTCTCATCCGTGTAATGTTGGATAATAGTATTTTAATATTTAACAAAAATATAGTTCCTAGTATAAGTAAGTAGATCTTTATCTCAAAATCGTTGAAAAAGATCTCGATTAACAGTTGAGTAAGCGAAATAATTACAGACGTAAGTGAACACTGAGGGGGTAAAGACAAGAGAGGGATGATGAAGTCCTGGGGGTGGAGTTGGGGCGATCTATGATACTCCGGAGCTGTTTCAACTTTGGCCCTGTTAAACTGCAAAACACATAAATATTATTATGTTTTGAGTCTACTTGCTTATGTTGTTTATGTCATACCACTACAATCGTACAAAACAACCTTTATCCTTAAACCTGTTGGGCTGTTTCTGCCACATTAAATCAAAATTTTTCGTTAAAAAAATGTAAAAATAAAATAATAATATGCAATTAAATTGTACATATAATGTACTGAAAATCTTTAAGATACGCACCATTTATCAATAAAAATAGAAGGAAGAAGAACTAAAGCATAAGATTTGAATTGAATTGATTTAAGCATTTAAAACGAAGAAAATTGAAATACTAGCATTTAACATAATAAACCATAACATAACTGTGAACTAATCTTAAAAATATAAAATTATCGTACATCTGTTCACAGACAAACAGAATACAGTATCGTAACCTGTCCAGCAGACTACACAGTATCGTATAACCAATCCAACTGTCTACACCTTATCATATACCCTGTCCAACAGACTAAACCGTATCATATACCCTTTCCAACAGATACACCTTATCATATACCCTGTCCAGCAGACTGCACCGTACCATATACCCTATCCAACAGACTGCACTGTATCATATACCCTGTCCAACATACTAAACCGTATCATATACCCTTTCCAACAGATACACCTTATCATATACCCTGTCCAGCAGACTGCACCGTATCATATACCCTATCCAACAGACTGCACTGTATCATATACCCTGTCCAACAGACTAAGCCGTATCATAGACCATATCCAACAACAGACTGCACTGTATCATATACCCTGTCCAACAGACTAAGCCGTATCATAGACCATATCCAACAACAGACTGCACTGTATCATATACCCTGTCCAACAGACTAAACCGTATCATATACCCTATCCAACATACTACACCGTATCATATACCCTGTCCAACAGACTAAACCGTATCATATACCCTTTCCAACAGATACACCTTATCATATACCCTGTCCAGCAGACTGCACCGTATCATATACCCTATCCAACAGACTGCACTGTATCATATACCCTGTCCAACATACTAAACCGTATCATATACCCTATCCAACATACTACACCGTATCATATACCCTGTCCAACAGACTAAGCCGTATCATAGACCATATCCAACAACAGACTGCACTGTATCATATACCCTGTCCAACAGACTAAACCGTATCATATACCCTATCCAACATACTACACCGTATCATATACCCTTTCCAACAGACTAAGCCGTATCATAGACCATATCCAACAACAGACTGCACTGTATCATATACCCTGTCCAACAGACTAAACCGTATCGTATACCCTGTCCAACAGACTACACCGTATCATATACCCTGTCCAACAGACTACACAGTATTGTGTACCGTGTACCGTGTCCAGCGAACCACACACATAGGTGGTAGGGAATGCTGCGCCTTACACTGTGGGTTCCCATGTTAATACATTATTCACCCAACTTAATTGAATTTCTCTAAATCCCTCCTCCTCTATTCCCTCGCAACGGAGCTGCTACTATCATGTCAGTGTTTAAGTGAAACTATTTATATCACTTGTCAGTTTACTTTGGTTTACAATATTGCAAATTTAATCTAATTATAGTTAAAATAACTTTCCATATTTTCAATTTTCTACACTGTTTAAATATATTTTCATTTTGGTGTATGGAAACAAAACACTTGCACGAAACCTTTCATATCTACCACAATGATGAGATTGTCACAGTGCAATAAATTCACAAACATGATTGGAAAAGCTCTTCTTGCGTTTGAACTAATATTTCTTAATCCTAATAAGCAAAAGTTTTTTTGATTATCATTAATTATTTATATTATCGTCAGAAGTAAACTCTTTATCGTCCTTTTTCCCCTTTAAAAATCAACGTTTTTGGGAACCAAGTGTAAAGTAATTTACATAAAGCAATATTATGTCAATAAAAAGTAAAGACATTATACCTCTTAAAAGCTGAAAATGAAAAGTTGGTGCTACCACTACATGAATGGTCTTGATTGTTCTCAAATTTGTAAATAAAAGTTTATATCTCTTGATCAAAGACTAAGAATATATACTTTAAGCTACGGACCTCATTAGCAACACTTCAGTTTCACTGCGATTATGCCACATCAAATTCTTGCATTATGTTATCTTTAACACTTAGGCCTATAATACGTTATGAGAACTCAATCACTATCACCTCTAGGTATCTTACAGTGTATTACATAATAAACACAACCCCTGTCCCCCATCAAGAGACACGACAACCGCACAAAGAATAGGATACTACAACAACATAAAGAGTAGACTTTACCACAGAATAAAGAGCAGACACTATTACAGAATAAAGAGTAGACACTACAACAACATAAAGAGTAGACTCTACTACAGAATAAAGATCGGACACTATTACAGAATAAAGAGTAGACACTACAACAACATAAAGAGTAGACTCTACTACAGAATAAAGAGCGGACACTATTACAGAATAAAGAGTAGACACTACAACAACATAAAGAGTAGACTCTACTACAGAATAAAGAGTAGGCACTACTACAGAATAAATAGTACACTCCACTACAGAATAAAGAGCAGACACTACTGCAGAATAAAGAGTAGGCTCTACTACAGAATAAAGAGTAGACTCTACTACAGAATAAAGAGTAGACTCTACTACAGAATAAAGAGCAGACACTACTACAACATAAAGAGCAGACACTACTACAGAATAAAGAGTAAACACTACAACAACATAAACAGTAGACTCTACTATATAATAAAGAGCAGACACTACTACAGAATAAAGAGTAGAAACTACAACAACATAAATAGTAGACTCTACTACAGAATAAAGAGTAGACTCTACTACAAAATAAAGAGCAAACACTACTACAGAATAAATAATAGACAATACAACAACATAATGAGTATTGTATTCTGTGATCGTACTGTAGAACCAATACGCAAAAGGGTGCGCTCTACCTCAGCTTGGGCTTCAGTTGCTATGTTGCACCATTGGACAGTGCCGCGAGAAGCGCTTGCAGAGGTTTCCAAGATTACTGTTTTCGAGTTAACCAATAATGATAGCTACGCACTCTAAACGGCTTATAGTAGTGCAAATACCAATCTATAGTTCTGCGTTTTTCAAATTTTCAAATAACGTTTTTTCAATAAGTTAGGGCTAGTTGAAAATACCTTTTTTCTTGTCCTACAAATCAAGTTTATAAGGTGTGTATTAAAAATAAATAAAGCGCACCCTTAAAACAGAGATTTGTTATAAAATAATAGGGTGTAAAGAATAACACGGTAAACGTGATGGTTTATTGCTTGTTGCAATAATTTATATTTACCTAAAAAATGTGTGACTTACCTGATATTGAAGTAATATGGAGTATTTATAGCGAGGAGTTGAATTTCAGGCGTAGACTACCTGAAATTCAAGAAATTCAATTACTACATTAATTATTTTATGGCTGTGAAAAGAAGTAAATTACTATTATACGAGTTGCCCTATAACTTTCGTTTTTAACCATGATTTTTATTAAGTTACCATTTTTTACTACTACTCCAATATACACGGTTTCAAATTGTAATTTGCAATACCAATAAACCTGCGATGGTGCCGATGGATTAAGACGAAACTTTAGATATCACAATACCTAATTTATTTTCATTATGTGGTAATCAAAAATATTCTATTGTCTACATAGTACTTCCGAAAATATTAATCCAAACACAGTAACTTTTAATTTAACTTATTTACTTTAATTTCCTTTTTTTCTGAAGTATTTTTAACAGTAAATAAAGAGCACTCACTCAGTAAAAGTCAGTAAAAGTGAAAGTAAAAGTGAGTTTTCACTTTTGAAGACTCGTTTGAATTATTAACTATGGTAAATGTCCTAAGAGAACTTCTAGTACTCAAATTTAGTTTGTTTCTTTTGTCGATATAAATTTAAAAAAACATTTAATTAAAACAAAACCATAAAATTTGTATGTAAAGCGATCCTGTTTACTGCTAAAATGTTGAACCAGAGTACATAGAGAATTGGCTAGATTAGTGTTAGGTAACTTGAACCATTGATTGTAAGTATCATAAATAATCAATGGTTAAACAATTTTGTCTGCTCTCCAAATCCGACAATTTATAGACAATTAATCCTAATGCATATTCTTTCATTCGTATTAGATTTATGAAGTTTGTCTTTATGTTTAGTAGTTTAAATTACCTTGTTCTGTCCTGTTTGTCTTTATGGTTTTTGTCGTTGATATACCAGTATAATTAAAATTATTGTAATTGCTTTTGTTTATTACATGTTATTTTGACTGTAGCTAACCAATAACTAACTGTAGCTATAATTACTTGCTATATTAACTCTTAACACGCCATTCTTTTTAGCGAATCTCCCTATATAGAGGAGTAAGTAAGCATAGAAGAATATCGTGATATATCAGTCCAGAAGGCCGAAACCCCACCGGACTGTGGCTGTTATAGGACCAGGTCCTCTACAGCCGTCGAGAGAAGTAGCTATAACGAGTACAACCGTAGGTGACACGGAAAAACCTAGATCCGGGAGCGATTTACTTTTTCGTCTTGCTGTCCCACGAGATGCTAAAAACACAAATCCTTCAAATTATTTATATAGGCCTACATGTATCTGTTAGCAAAAGACCGAGCAAAAATCATCCGGTTTTGATTAAATTTGTTTCAAACGTGTAAACCTACGTTTATTTGAACGAGTTCGCAAACCAGCATGATGGGACCATGGGAACCGGGTTTTTTGTGTGGTTTGTGTGAATAAAATTGGGTTTTCTAATTGTTTAACCCTTAAAACATAAAATTTCCCAATTTCTCTGTAAACCATTTTCTAGAGCTTAAAAAACAAATAATTTAGTATGGAGAAGTGTTTGAGCTATGATTGAGCTATGCGAACGGGGTTTTATGGTTCCATTTTTTACTCCTAAAACTTAGTTTTTAAGGAAATTATGTTGTGAAAATCCAATCAGGCAAACAGATATTAGCTTAGTTTACAGGTTTGCTGAGGCGGGTTGCCATTTTATAGCACCCTTTTGCTAGCAATATTCCCAAATGATATGCAGGTTACAAGTCAAATAATTAATACGAATACATTATGCACCTGATGCCCATTAGAGTGTTCATTGGTTTCAAAAAATACTTTATAAAAGACTCCTCGATTGAGCCTGATTATGGCGGTGTAACTAGTAGAAATCGACCAATGTGACATATTTTGTAAAACATATTTACTGTCTGGCATAATTTACAGAATAAATCTTAATTGAAATGCATGTTTCATTAAATCCGTATTGTTATTTCGTCTAATGACTCATTCTATTTGTATCATATCTGGTTATTGTATATGATTATAAATATTTATCGCATTAAGATACAATACTCACATGATTATAATAAACACATTTATTTAGTAACAGTTGTTCGATAAGTAATAATACCTTATTTTATAACATACTTAAAATAATAATCCTCTAATAATACCTTAATCATCAAGTAAGAATTTGTAAATTCCTTTTTATCCAGGATTTTGAAAAGACTAAACCCTGAAATACAGTAAGAAAACAACCCGTACATTATTTAGCAAGATGTTCTGAGGAAGCCGCAAAGTTTTAAACGAAGGAACCTGAAACTTAGTTTGTGTATATTTTTGTCGTTGAATCGAACAAGACTAAACAAGTTTCAAGCAAAGAGGATGGTGTTTCTCACAATGGAAATGTTATAAAATGTATAACTGTACTACAACACACCTATCCCTCCAAACTGTTTGTTAAAATATTTAAAACGCGTAATGTCAGTAATGTATACACCAATTTTAAACTTTTAATGATGTTCAAAACGACACCATTGATATTCATTGGAAGCTGGAAGTTCACTAATACTTGCAAGTTCGTGTCTTACGCTTACTTTATGTAAAACACTATAGTATCAGTTTAAAGCTCACAATAGGAAATTGAAAGGTTTTGGAAGTATTCCGATGAGGTTACAGGTAGCACTGTTCCATTAACGTCTAATAGATTAAATTATACGCGTTCTACTTGTTTATAAAAACTGAAAACTGATTCATCATGGGAGGTTCACAAGAATTAAAAAAAAACTAGTTTTGGCTATCGAATTGTCTCATAGAACTTAGAACAACATTTTGGTTTAGGGAGTCGTAATTCTTTATTAAATCGACTACAATCATAAAATTTAAACTTTGAACGCTATAAAAATTATTAAGGGTTATGCATTTGATATTACTGTGCTAATGATTGATTCTGGATTTACTTTCCCTTTTAAATTCGGGATCCAACTCGATATTTTTAATAGTAAAGAATTATTAAATTATTGTGGAAAGCGTGGGGAGCGAGCTGGTCTAGTGGTTAGAGCACGGGACTTCCTTCCAAGAGGTCCCGGGTTCAAATCCCGCCAAATCACCAATGGATTTTACATAAGTGATAATGCCATAACCCCTAATATCACTCCTAGATAGTTTTATTTTAATGGTTTGTGGAGTAAAAATCACTAGAAACTTCCGGTGAAATTCAAACGATAATGTTACATAGTTATAGTTGACCATCAATAAAAGTAGCATCGGTATTACTTACCTTACAATACGGGAATCAATTTATCTCTGAAAAATTTTCACACATGTTAAGTCCCGCCAGATCTTATAATATGCTTTACATACTATTATTGAAATTCAGATATGAGCAAACATTATCGCCTACTATTATAGCATGCTATGGATTTTAAATCAGTAAGAATTTCTACTGAGGGAAGTCAAAATACAGATAATATCTTCACTGGAGCTATTCATCTAAGAAGGTGTTTTCGTTAAAGATTGATCTTTGGTGATCAAAACTGATTGGTTCCCGCCCTTCCACAATTTATAGAGCGCTCAAAGAAGCTCAAGTCGGGTCAGTTTATTTCTGAGTAAAGGCGATTCTTGTTAGTTAACCTTTTTATCGATAAAAAGGGTTTCCTGGTTTCTTATCTCTATAATCTTACATTTTATGTGAACAGTTTTTAAACTATAAGGATAAGACACATAGTTTAGACAAATGGGAGAGCAATTATTTAAAATGCAAGGAAATATAAAAACTACACGTAAATTAAATCAGCGGAATGACAAGTCTTTTGGTGACAATTGTTGCACTTCAAACCAGGCAAATCAGGAATGTATTTTCTCAAAATATCTAGATAACCAGTATAAAATCTGTTCGAGGCGCAAACTTAATCTTTTAAAGGGAAATCAAAATGTTAAAATTCAAAATTGATTTTGAGTAGATTGAATGTGAATAGAATAAACCTATCTTTATATAGTAAATCGCAAGCTTTAACAGAACGCAGGATATAAAGAAGGCTTTATGCTAACGCCTCCTACAGACCAAAATTGGGTGAAATTCTAAAGTGCAAATATAGTATATTACGTTACTAGTCCTGAAAATAAGTGTTTACCGGACGAGTGTGGTCGTTCCCGTGCGAGACGAAGTCGAGTACGGGATTACCATACGAGTCCGGTACACACATTTTGGACGAGTGACGTACGATAGTTTACGCCATACTACTAAATCTGTACAAATCCTTATATATTTCCACCAACTAAAGGACTAAAAATCACTAGTCATTGAGAGGTTATGTTTTTGTTTATAACCACTCATTGCCACCTAAATACTAAATACAGTACAATCAGCTGATTGGTGTCCGGTAAAACTCATTGCAGCACAGTAGTACGCAATGAAACCCCATTTGAATAAGCTGGCGGCAAACAGCTGTTTTCTGGACTAAATACTTGCGTGGGAAGTTCGTCAAAATAATGTAGTGTGGCGTAAAAATATTTATGTCAAGAAGAATTCAAAGCTAAAATATATTTGACGTAATGTTTTATAATCGTTCATAAATCAGTTCAATAACCACTTCGCGAAAAACCCCATGATAATCACAACAGCAAAGAAGAACGAAATCCATCTAGATGGACAATATATATTACCTAACAATAATAGCTTAGATTTGTACGCGCAAATTAATTACGGGCCGGCTTTCAGACTACTGTACTCATACTCTTCTAACATGTTTAATGCATTTTGTCTGAATTTTTCCGTAAGCATTTCAAAACAAAATCCACCTGATTCTGTCTTTCCCTCCTAAGTTACTTATTTTATTCCCGACGCGACGTTCACCGAGACATTTGTTTATCCGCGGGATTCTCGGGATCTTTACATTCTTTTTCCCGAGGGTCACGATAGTTCCACTCTACTTGTTGCACTGTTATCCCCCAGGGCTCCCCTCTTTTCATTTAATAACTTTATCCCTCCCTCTCTTAAAATCAACGAGTATTATTACTGTTGTCATAAAAGCTCAACCTGTCTAAATCTGGTCTCAACATAATGTAACTGCAAATGAATCTTACTAAAATA